TGATGATGTGCGATACAGGTTTTACCTACAGACCAGTCTCAAGTTTATTGTGTAATCTTATCTATCTATACATCTACTATATATCTATATGTATATACATATAATAAAATCGTAGGAAAGTGAAAATTGTACATTAAATTTGTTTTTTAAAGAGTGTTTGGCGCGTAAAGCAATACATATGGTTTTTAGAATTTCTGTCTATTATATTTATCTTTGTCTATTATATCTGTATGTATGTCCGGGCTAAACTCAAAAAGTGCTGTATGGATTTACTTCAAATTTTGCATGAATATTACTCACAGGACGGATCCATATATACGCTACATATTATCACGCCATCACCTACGGGAAAGGACCTGTGAATCACTACTCTACGCGGATGAAGTCGCAGACACAGCTAGTTGTTTAATTTAATCTTTGTTGTTAGTTGAGGTTGAGAAATATTCACGAAAAAAAAGTAGCAGTTATTATATTTGGGCCAAACTGAGACCTCAAAATTAGAGCTTAGTATCTAAACTTATATACAACAACTAGATCAATAAGTCTATTTATAATATCAGTCGAATATGTCTTGAAAAACCTGTCTCTACACTTGAGAGCACTGAAACGGAGCCACAGGCAATTTTCCTTTTTCATCTTTTGATAAATATTTTCTGATAAGTATTTAATAATCGGTAACGTGTGTCGTATAGAAGGCAATGTACGTACCTTCAAAATAAGAGCATTTTGTTGTAAAAGCGTTTTGATTATTTTTTTAAGTTATAGAGTGTTAGGTAGTTGTGGTGACCCGGAGGTTTAAGATGTCCGCTTGTCATGCATGATGGCAGGTTCAAAACCTACCACGGCAAGTGCGAATGTGACCCGAGTTATATGTACTTTCTAAGATTATCTAGACATCACTGACAAACGGTAAGGGAAAACATAACTTATAATTTCTAATTATAAATTTGAAATCGTCAACCCGTATTGAACAAGCGTGGTGATTAATGCTCAAACCTTCTCCGTGTGAGAAGAGGCTTTGCTCAGCAGTGGGTATTATAGGATGGTGATAAGAGTGTTCGATGAAATGAAAGTACGCTAGTGTCTCCATTTCGTTGCTTCCAAGTATAACTACATGATACTAGTTATATGTAGGTATATTAAATATGTTCTAGTTATTGCGATAATGATATCAAATAAATATGATTCGCAGAATTTTCAATGAATTCCATATTACAAGATAGTTTCATAGCATATAATATGCTCCCATTTTCATCATTTGATACTCAGAATTTACTAATTTATATGTATGGTATAGCTTTATTCTTTAGTACAGGTTACACATTGAATTTATTCACATTTCTGTTCTAGATATGGTTGTTTTTATTGCTGTTGCTGAAAATTTACTTCGTGTTTTAGAGGCTTTCATAATCTGTTTAACTATAATCTTCTTCTTTTGACATCATTCTATAGTCTCTTAATTCACATTTCCATCTCCACCCAGTGCAAATACTCGTCTAGTTATTTAGGTAACAGAGAGTAAATGTCGTGGTGGCCCGGAGGTTTAAGACGCTGGCTTCTCATGCATGAGAAAGCCGGTTCGAAACCTACCAATGGCAAGAACCAATGTGACTTTTTCCGAGTTATATGTACTTTCTAAGATTATCTAGACACCACTGACAAACGGTGAAGGATAATATCGTGAGGAAACCTGGGCTTATAATTTCTAATTATAAGTTCGTTATCGCCAACCAGCATTGAGCAAGCGTGGTAATTAATGTTCAACCCTTCTCCGTGTGAGAAGAGGCTTTGCTCAGCAGTGGGCATTTATAGGCTGTTGATGACATGAGTAAAGTTCTCTAAGATCGGAAAAGGAGGATCCTCCGACCAGGCAAGGTATTAGTGTCTGACAAGCTTTATGCCCAACAGTTGTTCGTTAGGATTTTCTATCCGTGTTAATTCGCATGTAAACTTCACATGTGTGATGTATGATATGACGTCATCCGTTGATTTGTTTTTCATTGATGGTCTATGTGCGTGAGCGGTCATTGGACGACACGTGTCTCCACAGTTAAACAAACACGCATCTCCACACAGCTCAATATATATTTATACAAAACACACCTCTTAAATGGCAATAGGCTCACCCCCTATTACATGGGACTCATAACATAAATAGTGAAAAGTATGTATTACATTGTACAGCGGCATTAAGTGCTGTAATGTGCACCTCTGTCTACCCCTTCGGGGATAAAAGGCGTGATGTTATGTTTACACCTTTCAAACTCTATAGAGAAATACACCATGATATATAAATCCCTATATATTTCCAACCATGGACCAACAATCCCGTATTCACTCTTCTCGCATAGTGATTTATAGTAGTGCGAGTCCTAACGATGATTGGTGTTCACGATGCGATGGAAACTAGTCCATGTACCGCTGCAGTAATTAAAATATCAACTGACTGATAAATGTGTTCTGTTCGAATGAGTGGAAGGATTTTATTGATGTCGATGGGAATTTTTGAGGGAAATTGGTGGAGTGATATTCGTATTTTTAATGAAATGCTTATTCATAGACTTATTACGTTGATTTAATACACTTTAATCATACAAATAATGTTAATGATATAATCCTATGTGACCTAATAATTAATAATTCTAATGACATTCAGTAATAATAATCAATCCAAACCATTGTTTCAAACTACTTTCTAATTTTGTATGCTGAAAAAGCTAACATAGCGTTTAAAAATGTTATTTAAGACCCTAATGTTACCTATGTTCACAATTAATTAATTGAATTTGAATTTGAATTATATAATGTGATTGATCAATATTGTTTTGACTGTGTTGTATTTTCTGTAAATTTATTTTACATAAAATTTTGTTCCAAGGCATAACTACTTTTATTTACATGAGCTTTAAAGAGCTGCATAAAAACAACTTACAAACTACTACTAGAAGAAAAATCACTATTCGTTGACATCAAAATAAAAGCGTACTTAAAAACAGTAGCATAAAAGACAAACCACAAAGAAAAACCCAGCCAGACGCGAAAACCACAAAAAACAAAATCGTAACTAAAAACCAATTGAAGGTGGAGTAGAAAAATTCTTTTGAAAACCGTTTCAAAAGGGGACCGAGAGTATTTTTCTCCTTCGGACTTGCTCGATATAATAACTTTTGCCTTTTAATAGTGCCCGCTTCATTTAAGTGTTCGGCAACTGAGAATTTCTTCGAGAACCTTCCATTTGGAGATGCTCCAAAAGCTTTTATAAATCGAACCGGCTTTAAATGAAGTGCAAGCGCTATTTATTATTGTGTTTTGAGACAGATATTGCCTAGTTTCTGTAGAGATTTTAGAAGCAGTGCAATCTTCGCTTCGTGCTGTGATACGAGGTGTTTCTCTGCTGGAATAGTTTCTATTGTTTTAGGTTTTGTTCAAATGAAAACATATTCAATACTCGAATATTCTGTTGTACAGAATGCTGTTTTGTAAACAAAGGTATTATCTGGTTTAGGAGCGCTATTATTATCTTCTGTTACAATATAATTATTGATAAGCATTTGTGTAAATAGGTCGCATATATATAGAACACATATAGCTATGTACGTAACTCGATGCCTATGTATATCTATATATAGACATCTAACCCCTTCCCTCAACTATAATTCAAAGACAAGCAGCAAAACATATAACTGCACAAGACTGTTACTAATGGCAGTGTCAGAATACAACATAATATAACAAAAAGTTTATTACTCGTGTCAAACACATACATCGAGGCGGGATGTTTTATAAATATGTGACGTCATTCACACGGCTGTCTGGTACAACGTTATTATCGTAAATATGTTTTGCTCTTTTTAATTTTATTTAGACAAGCATCCATTCGGTTTTTGATTAGTTAAGTAAATAAAATTCCAACTATTTTCTCAGTTTTCTAAAGTTATATTCTTATCCTGTGCTCTTGTAGGAATACTTTATACTAAATAATTCAAGAAGAAGGTCGCAATTAACATTCTTTAACATTGCCCCACTGCTATGTCGTGGGTGCGATTACAAACATAATTATATATAAGTTCACATACACATGACACCCATTCCGAAACATCAATTTGTTGATCAAACAAACAGTTGCAACATGCGAGAATCGAATCTTCTACAAGTTTCGCGGCAGCCGGCAACAGCGCCATCAAAAGTTCAAATCCTCATCTTTAGTAGTTGCCCACATACACCGCTAGTCACGAGGTGGAAATATCTTAAATTACTGTTTTTATTTTTAACTTTTTTAATGTACTTTCATAGTGCTGCCCCATGTTGTCAGATGGGTCGTTTGTCTTCTGAATTGCGAAGCGAAATGTTCTGATGCAGTTGTTTTGAGATTAACGGCGTGCATAAAACTTGAATGATGTAGTTTGGACTTGAATTTATTATATGAATCGCATTATACAATTTGTGAATGAAACAATAACAGTAGATTCCAGGGCTTGTTTTTCATGTAATGTAAAATAACTTTACTACTTCTAATTAAAAATATACTTGCATTTGTGAACATTGCCATTTTTGGGAGTATGGCAAGAGGTTTAAAAAATAGTGTTGTATCTTTAGATCATCATATTCAACTTATACATTTCTATCATGTCGCGGAGAAACTAACGGGTTACCGGGGCTCCGGCTCGACATGCAGGAGAAGGAACGGGGTGGTTTTTAGTCAATAAGACTCTGACACTCCTTCCCGCCTCACCCAGGCGAAAGCAGTGATTATCCGCCTTAAAAAAAACATTTCTCTTTGTCAGAATTCAACCAAATCTGTTGATGAAATGATATTTATTTCTGCAAATAAGTTACAATGTAATACTTTTACACGTCAATCTTTAAATTACTATGCGGGCTTTTCCAACTGACTACTCTGAGAAGAAACGCCAAAACAAATTCAGAGGTTATTCTTCAGCGGTTTAGGAATAAAAGTGTAAAGAAACATACAGAAATTAACGTCATATTTTCTTCCCCAGGTTACGGCATCATTCCACTGAAGATTCCATCATCACCAGCTACCCATTGTACGCTGCATACCACTGTGGGTTGTGTTGGGAATGACGAATGTACTGCGAAGAGCCACAGTGTGATACGTCTGCTGGGCCCAGTGAGGGATGTGATCGTGCGCCCAGCTCGACACCATTATCGACCTGGAGAGACTAGTAAGTTTTTATTTTTTTACCCTTAGGATTCTACGTTGCACAATAAGGCTACTGTTAAGAAGTTTATTTTGATTGGTGATAATTATCATTATAAAGAGTATTTTGGAGACTAAAAATGTCAACCAAACTATATTATCCATCATCATAAACAGCCTACATGTGGCCTCTGCTGACCAAAGACTTCTTCTCACACGGAGAAGGTTTGAGCATTAATCACCACGCTTGCTCAATGCGGGTGTGCGATTTCAAAATTATAATAAGAAATTATAAGCCTAGGTTTCCTCGCGATGTTTTCCTTCACCGTTTGTCAATGGTATATAAATAATGTTTGATGTTAAAATTCACATTAGTACTTGCCGTTGTTTGGTTTTGAACCCGCACCCTCATGCATGAGAAGCGAGTGTCTTAAACCTCCGGGCCACCATGACATTATACGTTACAATAATATGCTATATCTACAGTTCTTGTTATTAATATGTAGCTTATCTATACACCATCTACATTGATGACCAGGTACCACACATATTACGTACTAAAACCGTACAATTAAAGCATTACATACATAAAATCACGCCTTTTATCTCCGAAGGGGTAAGCAGAGGTGCACATTACGGCATTTAAAACCACAGTACAATGTAGCACTCACTTTTCACTACGTATGTTATGAGTCCCATGTAATAGGGGGTGAGCCTATTGCCATATACCGGGCACAATTCCAGACTCCGTGCTACTACTGAGATTTTTTTAAATAATTTTTCCGACCCGGAAATCGAAGTCGAAGCCACTCGGCTAACGAGGCAGCAGTAATGGCTGGTAATGGTATTATGTTTGTGAATATTTTTTTAATATTTCTTATTTTTTTTTGTTTTTTTTTCTTTATTCATTGTATTAACTTTTCTACCTTTCATTCGAACTTCATTTTACCAAAACAAAATACTCCAGTACCTCCTCATTTATACTTAAGTAAGTCTTAAAAACGTCAATATTAACACTGTTATAAATAATATAACAGTAACTAGTTATAGGGACGAATCTGTGCTGTCTAGGCAACCTAACAGTACAATGATAAATTTTAACTTTAATAACAATATTAGCTTAACCAATAATAGCAATTTAAACTAGATCATAAGACAACAGAGTGTACCCCCATAAATAATTTTGACAGGAAGGTATGTTCTGGCACGAAAAAACCCACTCTTAATAAACATACACATAGTCAGGGGCAGCACAATCTAAAATTATTTCATGTTAACATTCAGGGCTGCTACTCTAAATTGTTTGAAATGGAAATGTTTTTAGAAAAAACTAAGTTTGACATAATTTGTTTATCAGAACATTGGATGAAGGAGGATCAATTAATATCCTTAAACTTTGAAAATTACAATGTTATTAGTAATTTTAGTAGGAAGTGTATGTTACACGGTGGGTCTTTAATATTAGTTAGAAACAGTATTAAGTCAAAGGATAGGAAAGACATTGTAGCATTGTCAGTCGAACACACCATTGAGTTGTCCTGTGTTGAGCTGGATAGACATGTTGTAGTTTGTGTATATAGACCACCTAATTACCAGAATCTTGCATTATTCGATTCTGTCATGGAGGATGTTCTGGGGAAGGTCTGTTCTGGTAATAAATCTGTACTTGTATGTGGCGATTTTAATATAAATTTATTAGAGAATAACACAAGTAGCATGGAGCTATTAAATTTATTTTATTCATTTAATCTGAAAAATGTGTTTCTGGAGCCAACCAGAATAACATCTTCCACAGCCACTTGTATCGATAATGTTTTCTGTAATTGTGATTATCTAGAAAAAATAGTCATGAACAGCTTGCCTTCCGACCACTGTGGACTTATGGTTGCTTTTAGCTCTTACTTGCCTCTGCAGAAAATTCAAATAAGATTTAGACAAATTACTTTTAATAAATTAGAGAAACTCAAGAATTCTGTGGCTAATAAATTAGGTACAAAAACACTAGATATAAGTAATCCTAGTCAGTTATACGAAGATTTCTTTAAAGTTATAAACACAGAATTTAACAATATTTTGCCAATAAAAACAAAAGACATTCATACCAAGTTCGTATTTAGCGATTGGGCAACTGTCGGTATTCGTAAGAGTAGGGACAAACTTTTTGAGCTTTATGGAATGAAACCATACAACACCAACCTCCAATTTCATCAGTATGTAACATCATATTCAAAAACCTTTAGAATAGTATGCAGAACCGCGAAACGTCTTTATATTAGTAATAAAATAAAAGCAGCTGATGATAAGATAAAAGCTACTTGGAAAGTTATACACAACGAGACTGGTAGGAAACGATTAAGAAATTCAGAATTAAGTTTAAATACTGAAAGGGGACAGATTTCATCCAACGTAGATGTAGCCCAGGAGTTTGAACATTTTTTTGCCAACATTCCTATCAAAACAACCAAAGATTTAGAGTCATCAGCAACACTCTCTGTAACTTTGCTTAAGAATCATATACAATCGTGTCAGCACGACTTTAGTTTTCGATATACGAATCCTCTAGAAATAATAAAAGTTTTTAAAGAGATCAAGATCAAATCAACTGAAGATCTATGGGGACTATCGGTAAAAGTTTGCAAATCACTTATTCAAACTATAGCGCCATACTTGGCTGTGATTTTCAATAAAAGTATAGATGACGGTGTTTTCCCTGACCTAATGAAATATAGTAAAGTTGTCCCATTATTTAAAAGTGGTGACACTAAAGAACCAAACAATTATAGGCCAGTATCTGTTTTGCCGGTTCTCAGCAAAGTATTTGAAAAGTTAATGCTGTCTCGAATGCTTCATCATTTTAATAAACATTCTATCTTTCACCAACAACAATACGGTTTTACTAAAGGTCGTTGTACAACTGACGCCGGTGTCACTTTAATGAAAGAAATATTTGGTGCTTGGGAGGAAGCACAAGATGCTATTGGTGTCTTTTGTGACCTCTCAAAAGCGTTCGATTGCGTTGACCACGAGACACTTTTGCTGAAATTAGATCACTACGGGATCAGAAACACCGCACTCTGTCTAATAAAGTCTTATTTAGAAGATAGGCAATTAAAGGTTCATGTTAATGGTATTAACTCGCAGGGCTCTACGATGAATATGGGCGTTCCACAGGGTTCAATATTGGGTCCCTTTCTCTTTTTAGTCTATATAAATGATTTGCCATTTATATTCAAGAATGAACCAAGAATGGTGCTTTTTGCAGATGATACCTCATTAATTTTTAAAATAGATCGACGTGCTAATAATCTTGACGACGTAAACAGCTCCATTCTTCGAGTGCAAAACTGGTTCACCATTAATAATCTAGCGCTTAATGAGAAAAAAACAAAATGTATTAAATTTAGTTTACCAAACGTCCGAAGTAATGATTGTGATGTTGTTTTAAACGGCCAAAAGTTAGAATTTGTCGACGAGACGGTATTTTTAGGCATTACATTAGACAATAGACTACAATGGGGCCCACATATAAAGGCGCTTTCGGGGAGATTAAGCTCAGCTGCTTTTGCAGTTAGACAGATTAGACAGCTCACGGACGTAGATACGGCAAGGCTTGTCTATTTTAGTTACTTTCACAGCATTATGTCGTACGGCATTTTGTTGTGGGGTCGAGCTGCAGAAATAGAATCAATTTTTATTCTTCAAAAGCGGGCTATCCGAGCAATATATAACTTACGCCGTTGCGAATCGCTAAGAGAATTGTTTAAAACGATAAACATCTTAACGGTGCCCTGTCAATACATATATGAAAATATAATGTATGTAAGAAAGAATAGGCAATTGTTCGAAAAAAGAAGCGATAGACACAATCTTAATACTAGAGGCAAGAATAAGTTAGCTGTACTGCAATTCAGACTGTCCAAGGTACAGAAATCCTTTATGGGGTTAGGTATTAAATGCTATAATAAAATACCAAATAGCATACTAGATCTAAATGAAAGTAAATTTAAAACATATATTAAGCGCGAATTATGTAAACAAGCGTACTACAGGGTGATTGATTATCTTGAGGATAGGAATGCTTGGCAGCGTGTTGGTTCGGCTCCACTGGACAATACTCAAATGTAGTCAGTACCTAGTTCAGATTACGATAATAGGTAATTTAACACTTTGATTCCGATGAAGGCAATCTATTTTTCTTGTGGCATCGAGCATTTCTTTCTTTATTTAAACAAGAGTATATTTTTTATTTTTTTCTTGTATAGAAGCACTATTTTATATGGATTGTCAGTATACATATGTGAGGACCATGTCAGACTTAAGATATTTGTTTTCTCTTGGTTTTGTTTTTTTTTTCTATTTTAGTACATATGTTCTGTTATTTGTATGTTGCTTCAGGTATGTCTTTACATTATTCTCACATGTGTGTACAATATTGGAATATGTATCAGAGCAATGTAAAACAGACTTTTTTAAAAGAGTAACGAATGGAGTTTCTTGCTCGTTCTTCTCCACTCGAATCGACATTTTGGAACGAGCGCCTAGCTTCACTGACGGACAGACTGACAGACTATTATATATCTCATATTTGTTGACGTTTCAAAAGTACCAAATTATGGTTTAATTGAAATAAATGCTTTTGAGTTTGAGTTTGAGTTTCTTTCCAAATTTAATTTCATTACAACTCGTAATTCCTTACTTTCGTATCGGATCCTAAAATTTTCCTTTCCAAATATACGTTTGTAATACTTCGGCCATTTTTCCTCCATAAAACAGACAGTGCGAACAAATGAGTTTTGTTTTATTTTAAAGTTTACTGCCTATAAAATTACGAAACTCGGACGGTCGTACGGATTTTAATGGAATTAACACTTAGCTCGTACCAATAAACGCTTGGAAATTTAAAATGGTGTGCGAAGTTTCGGTATGTTTTTTTTTAATATATATAGATTTTTTTTTTAAACGTTGCCCCACATTAGGATTATCTCCTGTGTCGTGGGTGCGTTTACAAACATACAAGTTCACATA